CCCTAACGAAAAGACCTCTTTAAAAAAGGAAAGAAAAGGGACCAGCAGTTAGTGTAATGGCTATGTCGCTGGACTCCCATGTAGTTGACGGTGGTTTGAGTCCCAGACCTGGTGGCTTAAACTCACGCTGGGCGCATGTGCGTGCATACCCAAGATCCCGAGAGGAGAATGGAGGAGAAGGGATTGCGGCGTGGCCATCCCCCTGGGGGGTGATTTCTCATTTTCTGTCTCTCTGTGTCTGTCTTTGTGGCAAGCACACATGCCCTATAGCAAAAACCTCTCAAAAAAAAAAAAAAATGTTGGGACAGAGCTGAGAGATAATGAACTCCAGAAGATGCAGGAGAAAAGAGACAGTGAGTTCCAGGTCGGTGTTGAAGTTCTTCCATGACCTGAAAGAGGAAACACACACCATAAAAAAAGATTCAAATGGAGCTATTAGAGATGAAGGATGCCATTCTGGAAATTGAAACCTCCCTCAAAAGTATTAAAAGCAGATTAGTCCATGCAGAAGATCAAATCTCGGATGTTGAAGGCAAAACTTCTGATCAAAAAAAAAAAAAAAAAAAAAAAGACTGAAAAAGAAAAAAAAAAAAAGAAAGAAAAACTGTTTTCAAAGAGGCATGGGTGTCAGTGGCAAAGTTGAGAATTGGATGCAAGAGGCTTGGTCATAAAGTAGTATTATTCTTGGGACCAGCAGTTAGCGTAATGGCTATGTCGCTGGACTCCCACGTAGTCGACTGCGGTTCGTGTCCCGGACCCGGTGGCTTAAAACTCATGCCGGGCGCGTGTGTGTGCGTGCCCAAGATCCCGAGAGGATGCTTCTGTCTCTGTCTGGCAAGCGCACGCACCCTATAGCAAAAACCTCTAAAAAAAATAGTAGTATTACTCTTCAAGTCATTCCGCAAACATTTATTGGGCACCTATTATATGCCAGCCATTTTAGGTCAGCGCTTTGTAAACTTTTTGGTCTCAGGAACCCTTTATACTCTTTTAAAAAATTTTAAAATAATTATTTAATTTTACTTATTATTATTTTAAATTTACTACAGGGCATACTCACTCACCAGAGAGAGACAGAGAGAGAGATTGGGAAAATGAGAAAGCAAGCCATCAGGTTTGGGACTTGAACCCCAGTTGGCAATGTGGAAGTCAAGTGTCTCAACCACCACGCCACCTGCTGGCCCCTACACTCTTAAAAATTATCGAGGACCTCAAAGAATTTTTGTTTATCTGTATGATATCTATCAATATTTACTATTTTAGAACCCCAAATTTTAAAATATATATTTAAAAATAATAAACCCATTATGTATTAACATAAGTAACTTTTTTTAAATGGAAAACTACTTTTCAGGGCCAGCAGGTGGCATAGTGGCTAAGGTGCTGGACTCCCACATGGCTCACTATGGCTCGAGCCCTGGACACAGTGGCTTGAAAATCAAGCTGGCTGTGTACATGTGTGCCCAAACTCTCAGGAGGAGACTGGAGGAGAAGGAATTGCAGTGTGGTCATCCCTCATGGGGGTGGGGGTAATTTCTCACTTTCCCTCTTTCTCTGTCTCTCTCTGGCAAGGGTACACACCCTATGGCAAAACCTGAAGAAAAAAAAATAAAAATAAATAACTTTTCAAAATCAAAAAATCAAAAATCTTAGTTGTGAAGTGGTACTGTTTTGTATTTTTCAATTGTCTTTGGTGTCTGGCTTAATATATAATAAAATATTAGAAGCACATATCTATCTGGTTTTGCACTGTCTGTTGCCAGATCACACATCACATATCCTCCTGAAGACTTCACTGCATGCTCATGAGAAAATGAGAGTTAAAAAGGAAAAGAAAATCTTAGAATCATTATCAAAATATTTTCATTTTAAGAACTCTCTCAAAATGTTTCAAAACAAAATTCCCTAGAGTCTAGACTTTGGGATTCGCTGTGCTAGGTATTAGGCTATAGCCCTCAAAGAGCTCATGGACCAGCAGGGAAGGACACTTACAAATACATATAGTACAATATATATTTTTTTTAAGTTTATTTTAGTCCATGAGTAAAATAGAGAGGAACAGCACCCCTAAGGGTCTCAATGCTACAATGCTCTCCAGCCTTAGCCAGACCAGATCAAGGGCACACACATGCCCAGGATATTCATGGAGGTTTCTGGACACAAACCAGCAACCCTCCCCTCTGGGCCCACTGTGTAGGGTACTGTGTTTTACCACTGTACCACTATCCAGCCTCTATAGTGCAGTATGTTAAGTGCCATGTGCTACAGGGAGCCATTAACTCCTTTTGCTGGGAAGTTCAGCAAAGGCTTCAAGGAGGCGTTGGTATTTGCCTTGGACCTTGAAGCATGAGTAAGTATACAACAGGAAAGGTCAGTGCTTTCCTGGCCAAGAAACAGCATGGGTAAAGGCATGAAGCAAGGAACACTGAGTCCAAAGCTCCTGGGGTTAGAACATACATGAAGAGAAGGGACAATCTGGCGGCTGGAAGAGCACAACGGGAAGGCAGACTGAACGGAGCCTTTAATCTATAGGTGATAGAAACAACTGAAGATTGCAAAGTAGAGCAACACGAGAATATCAGCTTGACGTTTGCGCCCCTACTGTGTCCAGGATAGGCACTGTCTACCGTGTCCAAGCTGGACACTGTATGAGGAACTTGGCTCTCCCATCAACCCACTGAAAGAGGAATGACTATGGCTGGGCGAGGGCACGGTGGTCAGAGCTAACACGCTCTGTGAGGCTGACATGCACAAAGAGTTTCTGGATTCTGGTTCTGGGTACGCCAGGCACCCACTTGCCTATGCTTCGGGATTGGCTGAAGCTTGGTGGAAGTGCTGTCTCTCTGTCTGTCTCAATCAGAGGAAAAAGAAAGATACAGGAAAGGAAGGAAGGAAGGAAAGGAGAGTGAGAGGAGGGAACCAGCAGTTAGTGTAATGGCTATGTCTCTGGACTCCCACATAATTGACCATGGTTCGCGTCCTGGACCCGGTGGCTTAAAACTCATGCCGGGTGCGTGTGTGTGCGTGCCCAAGATCCCGAGAGGAGGATGGAGGAGAAGGGATTGAGGCGTGACCATCCCCCCTGGGGGGTGATTTCTTGCTTTCTGTCTCTGTGTCTCTCTCTGTCTGGTGAGCGCACACACCCTATAGCGAAAAATCTCTCAAAAAAAAAAATTAAAAAAGAGTGAGAGGAGAGTTACTGGCCTCATTTCACAACTGAACGGAGGCTTCCAGTAACTGATTTGCATACTTGAACTTCTTCTATTCGTAAACTGAATCCTATCATTAATACATTTTTCTGAAGTTTTTAGGATTGAAACATGAGATATTTCCAGAAACAATAAGATAATAAGGGGCAAATCATAGAAACTGAGGGCCTTTCTGTTTCCTAAAAACAGGCTGCTGTTCTTTGAACAGGTCTGGTAAGGCAGGAGAAGCTGGCCTCTTCCTGGCTCCCAAAGGATCTCTCTGCTGTCCCTGTGCTCGGAACCCACCCTCGCTCTGTAACAGATACCTGATTTCAAGGGTATCTATTTAAAAAGTTTTGGTCCCAATAAGGAACTAAGACCAAACTCACAAGAGAGAATCAAATAACAGCAATTAAAATTACAGGCCAAATTTGTCTGGGTTAACGGTCTGTGCTTCCTCCTATGGGTACTGTACCCTGCAGCTCTGGAGGCTCAGGAAGTATATGAATGGAAGGTGTCCCCACGGCAAGCATGAAACCAAGCCAAGGTACTAAGTCTCTTCCCTTTTCTGGGGTTGTTTGCCCCATAATGGCAGTTTTCCTTTGTGGAAGGTGGGGGTAAGGGTGAGGTGGGGGGTGTGTGTGGAGGGATGTGTGTCAGGTGAATGCTGAAAAACCTTAATTCTGGATACCGGGTTTTTACAAAGTGACGTAGAGGGGACAGGCATGCGTAAGAATGAGTCATTTTTTCACTTAAGATTTTTCACTCTAATTATCATTCTCTCCAGATGATTTGTGTCTTCATATCAGGCGTGTATTTATTATAATGTTTACAGTCTTGGGGCCGGCAGGTAGCATGGTAGTTAAGGGTGCTGGACTCCCACATGGCCGACCACGGTTCAAGTCCTGTACCTGGTGGCTTTCTCTCTCTCTCACTCTGCCCCTCTCTGATCAAACTAAAATAAATAAATTTCAATAAAATAATTATTTAAAAAAATATTTACATGGGCTGGCAAGTGGCGTGGTGGTTAAAGGCGCTGGATTCCGACGAGGCTGAGTCCTGGACCTGGAGGCTTGCTGTCTCCCTTTCCCTTTCTTTCTCTTGGGTCTCTCTTTGGTCAAATTAAAAAACAGCAACAAGGGAACCTGCAGTTAGCGTAATGGCTATGTCGCTGGACTCCCACGTAGTCGACCGCGGTTCGTGTCCCGGACCCGGTGGCTTAAAACTCACGCCGGGCGCGTGTGCATGTGTGCCCAAGATCCCCGAGAGGAGAATGGAGGAGAAGGGATTGCAGCGTGACCATCCCCCATAGAGACAGAAAGTGATTTTCTCTATGTCTCTCTCTGTCTGTCTGGCGAGCGCACACGCCCTACAGTGAAAATCTCTCCAAAAAAAGAAAAAAAAATCTAACCAGAGAGAGAGAGAGCGAAAGCAAACTAACAGATCTGGGACTCAAACCATGGTTGTCCATGTGGGAGTCCAACACTTTAACCACCATGCCACCTGCCATTCTCTGGTTATCTTAAAACTTTCGCACTTCCCCAAGCCGTTCCCTTTAACCCAGAGAGCGGTGGGCGCGGTCTCCTAGGAGACCACAGAGCAACGGCTGCGCATGCGTACAGCCCGAGCTGGCTGATGCAACCGCCCGCGTGCGCGCCGCGCCCGCCCGAGGGTAAGGGAGCCGATAGGGAGGCGGGGCGGGGCCAATCAGCGCCGGCGGGGACGCTTGGCT